CACTTTTTTTTGGGATCACCAGGTAAAATAGAGATTGGAGATCAGGATTTATTAGATGTATTTTCTTTGGATATAGGCAGTGTACTTACCTTAGTTTTTGAATTAGCAGAAATAGATGAATCAGAAATTCGAGACTTGGTTTCTTCAGTAGATGCATTTATCTTAGCTTCTGGTAATTCTAAGGAAGTAGAGCTTCGAGTCTTTGACTCATCTTGATCAATAGATATACTTATCTCAGCTTCAGGTAAATCATTTGAAGAATTATCCTGATCATTGATGAATTCTATGTCAGATATTTTAGCAAAATGAACAATGACTATTTGAATTTGTAAATTAGTAAATCTTGAAATAGCATCTGCACTAAAGGTTTTGATATGCTGAATCTTATCTATCCTTATTTTTTCGAATAAATTATAAATCTTTCTAGCCTTTTGGGTTTGCTTTTGTAACGTTTTATGCTTGGTATTTAGTTGTGCAATAATAAAATCATAAATTTGTCCTTTCACTTTTTCTCACCAATATAATTAGATTTCATAAGATTTTTAACCTGGTTATTGAATTCTATAATATAATAATACCAACACATAATTTTATCTTGATTAACTTTAATCACTTGCTTTTCTGCATCACAAGCTTTCTTATATAAACTTGTTAAATTTAGTAATACTTTACTTTTTGATGCAGAAAACAAAATAATATCATCTTTCTCACTATTTTCCTGAATTAAATTTTTGGATACATGATTTTTGACAAATATTTTTGATAAATTGTTTGCTAAAATTTTGGTTGCTTGATTCTGATCTTTAATAGATGCTGATATCTTCTATATTAAATCTTGTTCTTTTGTCTGCTCGGGAGAGATACTAGATTTAATATTAGATATGTGAGTATTCTTTTTTGAAGAACTTTCAATAAATGACTCATATTGAAGCTTTTTTTTCAGTTTCTTTCTCTAATCTCATTACTAATTTGTTCTTTATGTACCCGTTCCAGAAATTCGATCTCCCTATCTTTAGAAGATTTAATTTCTAAAAAAATGTTATCAGATATATCAGAATTTGAAACATTATTAAATTCATTAGAATTTGAAGCATCAGATGAAGTAGATGAAATTTCTTCTGTAGAAAATGCATCATGTATATTAGTAATGATTTGATCTTTTTTTTTGATTTCCTCAATATCATATCTTAATTTCACTACTTCAGCTTCAAGCTCAGTGTTTTTGGTCTTGAGGTTAATAGTATCTTCTTTAAGTTTTGTATGATCAGCTTCACGTTTGCTGTTTTCTTTCATAATCTGTTTTAAAAGTTTGGTATTCTTAACCTCAAGTTCAGCCTTTTCAGCCTCAACCTTAGTATACTTCTCTCTAAGTTCGGTAATCTCAACTGTAAGCTTGGTATTTAATTCTCTTAGTGAAACAATTGTATATTGTGTGTCTGCCATCATTTTATATAAGATACAGAAATATTCAATTCTTTATCATAGATATAAATCATGTGATAAAAATCATTGGATTTAATCCAACAAGTGTATACCACCAAGAAAAATTCTCGATCATGTATACCCAATGATATTAATGTATTCAGATTAATCTTGAAAATACACTTGTAAAAATAATAAAATAAATTCACTCAATATACATGCAAAAGTAAACACGATTATGAATGCGAAATCGAGCCACCAGGCTCAGCTTTATTAATTGAGAAATCAAATGTAAAACCTATTATACGAAAATTTTAATATTACATGCTAAGAATAACAAATATTAAGCTGTAACATTCCTCTAAACTTATTGGATCCACTCCTCTTACTAAAACAAAATACATACTATCCGATATCTGTCCCATCTTATAACAAATTTGTTTTCCGAAAAGTCTGCTCCAACATAAAAAGGTCATGGTTTTTTGTAACTAGTTTCCCATCTTCCGCTCCATCTGGCCATTGAATGTTTTTATGATTCATAAAGTGAGAATAACACGCAGAACCAGCCTTCCCAGACCATTCAAAATCGATCAATTTCACATCAAAATCGTTATCTTCAAGTCGACTAACCAGAATATTTCCTTCACGTAAGTCTCCATGTACATGTCCCAAATTATGCAAATACTC